CGTTAAGATAAAGGCAATTCTTGATTTCAACCTATGTTGACAAGTATCCGGAACTTAACTGCCCGTCGAACGACCTACCGTGCATAACCAGCAATGTTATGCACCACATCATTACCACAGGACAACCTGTGACATCTAAAGCACGACGATTAGCTCCTGACAAACTGAGAATCGCCAGGAATGAATTTGACCATATGCTTACCCTTGGCATCATTCGACCTTCGAATAGCCCATGGGCATCCCCACTTCATATGGTTCCGAAAAAGGATAGCAATGATTGGCGACCCACCGGTGATTACCGGCGAGTGAATGCCAAAACAACCCCTGATTGCTACCCGTTGCCTCATATACACGACTTGACGGCAACCTTATCCGGCGCGACTATATTCTCCAAAATCGACTTGGTTAAAGCGTATAACCAAATCCCGATGGCAACAGAAGATATCCCGAAAACGGCTATCATTACGCCTTTCGGACTTTTTGAATTTCTACGTATGCCATTCGGTCTCCGGAATGCAGCCCAAACATTCCAACGCTTCATTGACGAAGTATTTCGCGGTCTCGACTTTGTATACGCATACTTAGACGACTGCCTCATTGCCAGTCCAGACAAGGAAACTCACCTTAGGCACTTGGACTTGGCATTTGAAGGTTACGCCAACATGGTGTTACCATTAATATTCAAAAGTGTCAAATCGGTGTTGACTCACTCGACTTCCTGGGTCACACTATTGACTGCAAGGGCATTCGCCCACTGGCTACTAAGGTCGAGGCTATACTGAACTTTCCAGAGCCACAGACGGTGAAAAGTCTCCGCACTTTTAACGGCTTAGTAAGTTATTATCGACGCTTTATTCCCAACTGTGCCTCTTTGATTCAGCCATTGACAGACCTCCTTCGAGGGAATAACAAGTCCATAGAACTTGACGCGTCTGCTCGAAATGCTTTTACCCAGATTAAAAAAGCTATTGCGAATGCCACACTTCTGATGTATCAGGATCCAACGGCACCGTTAAGTATCTCGGTTGATGCATCAAACACTGCAATCGGCGCAGTTCTACAACAGCTAGTTGACAAAGAGTGGCAACCACTCGCCTTTTTCTCCAGGCGCCTTCAATTAGCTGAAACGAAGTACAGCACATTCGGCAGAGAACTTCTGGCTATGTACTGTGCTATACGACATTTTAGACATTCGGTAGAGGGTCGTGAATTCATAATTTTTACTGATCACAAACCTCTGACGTACTCTCTGAACTCACCTTCAGATAAGTATTCACCCAGGGAATCACGACAACTGGATTACGTTCACAGTTTACATCAGATATTCGCCATGTATCCGGAGTAAACAACACTGTGGCAGATGCCTTGTCGCGCGTTTGTTCCCTCACCCAAATCGACGGCATAGACCTTGTAAAACTGGCTCGTCTTCAAAAAGAAGATACCGAGCTTCAACATGAGTTGTCGAAAACAACTCTACAATTAGCTGAGAAACCCTTAGGTATGGGAAGAGATACTATTCTATGCGACATTTCCACGAGTACTCCTCGCCCCATCGTGCCTAAAAGTTATCGCCGTAACGTCTTCAATACGTTGCATGGCTTATCTCACCCAGGTATTCGAACTACTGTCAAGCTCGTAACTAGTCGGTTTTGTTGGCCTGGCATTAATAAAGAAGTAAGGGAATGGGCACACACGTGCTTAGCTTGTCAAAAGTGCAAGGTGATAAGACACACCAAAAGCCCACTTGGCACCTTTCTTCTCCCTGACGCTCGTTTTGAACACGTCCATATAGATTTGGTTGGACCCCTTCCTGAATCCCATGGATGCTCCTATATTTTAACTTGCATCGATCGATTCACACGATGGCCGGAAGCAGTACCCATCAAGGACGTATCTGCTGAAACAGTCGCACGCGTCTTCGTAGAAAGATGGATCGCTAACTTTGGATGCCCATCTTCCATAACAACTGATCGCGGGCGGCAATTCGAAAGTGGCTTATTCTTCGCCCTGACTAAAATCATAGGTTGCATGCGTTTTCGAACAACAGCCTACCATCCTCAAGCTAATGGTATGGTAGAACGTCTACACAGACAGCTGAAAGCTGGTCTGTCAGCTGCAAACAACACCCATTGGACTGAATCCCTTCCGTTAGTTCTCCTAGGGATACGAAACGCCTTGAAAACCGATGCTGGTTGTACTAGCGCCGAGCTAGTATATGGCACGACACTGCGACTGCCTGGTGAATTTGTTTCTCCCTCGAGCTTCCCACCAGTGGTAGATCACGCTTCATACGTCAGCAGGCTTACAAACGCAATGCGTTCAGTTAAACCTGCTCCCCTTCGTCCACAGTCCATTGATGTTTTCGTTCATCCGTGTTTAAAAACTTCTTCACATGTATATGTTCGTCGCGACTCTGTGCGCAGACCTCTGGAACCTCCATACGACGGACCTTATAAAATAATTAAACGTTCGGATAAATTCTTTGTCTTGGACAAAAAGGCCGCGAGGACACCGTCAGCATTGACCGTCTGAAACTGGGTTACTTGGAGGGTAATCCTATTAGCATAGAGCTCAACGTACCCCATAATCCAGGAGTAACCGAAGATCGTTTAGACCTAGATGAAGTCACTACCACAGTGACAGCTACCGAATCTTCTGTTGAGTCTCCTAAGAAAACCCGTTCTGGACGCACCGTAAAATTCCCAGAATATCTGTACACCTATATGACACAACGAAGTCGTGTGATTCACGCAACTCATCCGTTTGTGGTACTAACTATTTTTTAGACGTATCAATTTTTTTTATGCAGTATCACTAAACACAACTAAATTTTTTTTTGGTGTTCTGAACTTAGCATTATTTTACTGTGTAGTAAATGCACATCATTTTTTTAAACAAAAAAAAGCTGATTGGGTACATTTTCCTCGACATGGTTCTTAGCGTTCTTGTTTTCTTTTCCAGGTGCGACGGGCACTGGACAGGGAACAAACGAAGCATGGGATCCAACGAACAACTTCCAGAAAGCCATGTACAAACACCCTATTAGCATAGACAGACAAACCAGTAGGCACCCCACCAAGCCTCTCGGAAGACTTTTTTCACCCGAAAGGGAACCATCGAGTTTTTCTACTTCCGACTGGTTCTGTCTTAGATTCCTCACCAACCCACTAGGGAGGGAGTGAGCTGTAGCGGTAAATAATTCCCAAAAATTATTGACCACAGCAATCACTCACCATTGGATGCTGACCACCACTGTTTAAGTCGATTTGTTTAGCTGAAGGCTTCCGGTCAAGAATCCCCGCCATTCGGTACCCCGTCGTGTCACGTGCACGATCACTAGCCAGCTAAGCGTTCGTCTGAAGGCTTGTTTTGGTCCCGAAATATAACAGGTAGTTTGGACGATCAAATATTGGCTTTTGCTTTGTCTTTGGTACGCGAGAATAGATTAGTTAGAAGTTCCTGAACAAGATATCCGCCAACCCCTAAAATTACACTCATCATGCTATAAATTACTGGAAACACTACGAAAAACTGTTGGGAAAATCATAATAAAAGATTGTGGTATACGCTGTGTAAGATAATTTGTTTGAACGGCAAAATGCTGAGCTCATCACTCACTGCAGAATTTCACGCTAGAAGTCTGACACTGCTTATTTTGACTGCAGTGTCAAATAAATACAAATCATATAAAGGATGAGAGAAAATCAAAACACTCGTCTTACAGAGATACACATGGCACTGAAAGCTACGAAACCTAGTTTATTACAGACTGTATTAGTGTGGCATTAGAATAAATAGTTTTTAACACTTTTTGAGCAATTACATATGTCTGTCACAGCCGCCTAAATAAAATAGATGCATGGTAGTAAGTGGGGCCTGACAATCTTCATCCAAAGTTTCTCAACGAGATATCAGGTCATAGAGCCAACCCACTGTGCGTCGGTAGCGCAGTGGTTAGGACTGTCGTCGACCATGTACATGGTCCGGAGTTTGATCTCCTGCCGACACAAGCCTGATGTCAATGGTCGGTGTTAAAAATTTGGCTCCCGATATCACATGCTGAAAATCCCATACTTCCACCAAATAGTACTGCGTGGAATCAAGCTATAATCATAAAAATCTTCAATTGGACTCTCCTAAATGGAGAGTTACCGCACGACTGGAAAGACGCCATCCACAAAGTAAGATCAATACAATGTTCTCCTAACTACAGGCCTATTAGTCTCACCAGCACCTTGATCAAGACACTGGAAAGAATCATCAAGAAAGCTATTTTGGAATATTCACCAAAAGCGACTTGTTATCCAAAGCACGGAAAGGCTTTCAAGGAAACATCTCATGCTTCTCGACCCTTTTTACGATAAAAAAAGATCAGTCAAGTCAAGAGACCACAGAAGACCCGTCGACATCGACATAGGAAGCCTAGTAAACTGGAATAAAGAATTCCTCATATGCAGGAGACAGATATTTAGGATCAACCCAGAACTCTCCTCCAGAGCAGCAGCACGTGGTGGAGTGCTACGAAGCACGGCACTCGGGCTCTCTTATTTATTTTCCACATCACTGAGTTATCTGATTCCTCGATGGTGCCATACGCAGAAGATTTAAAAGTTCGGCGAGCCAAATGTTGACAATGATACCTTCACTTTGCACAGAGACCTCAAAACGTTGTTATAGTGGCTCATATAATTGACTACGGCCCTGATTTGCTCGCTCTTTTCCTTCCTACGAAGTCGGAACACCTTAGAGGACATAGAAGAAGAGTTCGAAAGCCAAGGAGAAGCATATGCTCCTCTGGTTCCGATATCGAGTCATAAACTCTTGGAACAAACTCCCAGAAGAAGTGGTGTCTGCAACCTCAACCGATTCATTCAAGAGCGGTTTGAACAAGCAGAGGAATTTATTTGAAATGGATTGACGTAGTTATGAGGCCTTCTACACTCAATGAAAAAAATCTGAATCTGGAAATCTTGTTTTAATGATTCAATTGGTCTCAGTGAATGCCAGTAGCACTTTCGAGTAATAACGAAACCATGGCCGGCGAGCTGATGCTTGGAGACTTCTTTCCAGATTTCGCTACTAACGATTTTGTAGGTTAATTGAAAATTCTAATTGGTGATATAGTGTTCCACACAGCCAAGCCAATTATGGATGTCCGAGATCTTCGAGACACTTGATGAGCAACATGTGAATGAAGATATGCTGGCAGAAAATTCGGTCGATGGCATGAAGACAAAATTAGATGCCCCACTTTCTGATATTATGAATGGTGAAGGTAAATATCGATTTGTTATATCCCGTAGATACTGCAGATGACTTTTTTGTCGGAGACGAAGTAGAAATAAGTGAATCCACCCCGTTAGGATCTATTCTGCTAGATGACACTGGCAATTCTGATGAATCCAGTGGTTATGCTTCGTGCGTGCAGTCCTCCAAAAGTGGTTCACCGACTCCACCTCGTCTAAAGACTATCCCGTCACGTCATTCTGCTGTTCGTGTAGTTTCACCTCCAAATACAGTGTCGCTAACCAATTCGCCGCGAAAAATCCATGTAACGCGCATCGATCCTCCCAAGTTTGGGACTCATACAGTTCAAGCAGTTATACATAAAACCCCTCCGAAGACGTTGGGCGTGAAAGCGAATCGTGTTCACTTCATTTTACGACCATTTTCTGCAGAGTCTTCGAATATATCACTGTCATCTGACGCGGTGAATTCTCAGCAAAAGACAAGTACTTCTCAGAAAATATCTTACCTGAATGAAGGTTCACGTATCGCAAGTAGGTTGATTATAATCTGTTGTACATCCCACTTTTCAGATTCTGAAGATATATATGAGTTAGTGCGTAACACTAAACAAGAAGCACCTTTTGACCATAATGAGGTTTTACAGTCATCAACATCCATTGGTTCGCATTCAAGTTCGGAATCAGACAGCAGAGACAACTTTGACGATGAAATGACATGCCAAGAATTCTTTCTAGACCATGACAACATCACTACAAGTCCATCTAATGGAATTGGTTCTCGTAAGCTGCTAGCTAATCACTTAAATTTCGACCTTACAAGCCATTCTGAAGATATATCATCTGGCAAAGGTCTTTCCAGATTGTCTGATATTGATTCATTAATATACAGTGACAGTCCACTGAATGAGTATCGAAAGTCAAATAAGGTTGCACAGCAGCACTTTTTCCACGATCAGGTTAGTTAGCCAATATTTCATAAGTGATAACATATCTGTCATTAGCTTAGCAAGTGTTTTTTCGATTGGTATATGCTGTCATCAGTAATTAAATGTGGTCGATAACCCTCCACTAATTCATTTTCCGAATGCATCTCTGTAAATGTAAGGCTATTAATATTGTGACAGAAAGCAATCTTTATAGTATATGAATAACCATTTTCACACAAATAATCAACAAAGGGTATGAGAGTTAGGAAACTGATTTCACATTGCCTTCACTTTTTTGACTTTCGTTTTGGTTTGTGAGTTGAAAAAATCATTTACTAAACTGACTGCGTCTAGCTTTCTCCAGATTAAATATTCAAGTTAGTAAATCGTTTCATGTATTCTTCACTGTAACTTACGATAAGTAGTGCTGTTCTGAGGACGACATGGAGTACAGAATTTTCTGCGGGTCAAAGCTGAGTTGGTTTACGATTTCAAGTGATTTGTGGACTGAAAGGCTTCCATCCGACCGAGACGGAATTTACAATGCTCTAGAAACCATCGATGTAATGTAATATGTTTTGCAGACTACCTTTTTCTAGTTCCATTAGAATCAAAGGAACATTATTTTCCTTGGTCTTATTTATTTCTGTTTAGTTATTACGATATACTCACCTAGTACACGACGACTATCTATTGTATGTTACATGACTGCATTATGGTCTTCACTCTTAAAAAATCGATATAAATTGGGAAGGCTAGCCTGAGTACTAGCACTATCGCTGATCAGATTAATATTCAGAAAGTGTGCTAGTGACAAATTGTGCGACTATTCAAAGTAGTGATTCAGAGCAAAATTGCCGTCTTCTGTTACATTAAACGGTGCTTTTTGCATGAGTCAGTATCCTTCAAGAATTGAGGTCATTAAAGGCCGATATTGGAATGGTTTTCTTAAGATGCAGCTAATAAGTTTGCTAAATATTTCAGATGATAATCATGATGCAGGGAAAAGTAGTGTTCAGGTGATGGTAAGTCAATCCATGGATAAGAAACTGTCTGTCTGTCTGCCTGTTTTCGACATAGAACTTTGCACAAATGTGCGGAAGTTCAAGTCGCCACATTCCGTGTAGCACGCGAAGCAAGAGAAGAAAGTACAAGAAAAGCATAATAGAAACAGTGGGCAGAGGTGTGAGACAAAGGAATAGAAATAAAGAAAAACAAAACAGTTTCATTGAAGATCATAAGTCACAGGGTGTGGATGCATCTGCGCCACTGAGAACGATTTTGAGCCATGTCACCAATTGTTTCCAACCATAGATTTTTACCGTCCCGAGGACTTACTTACTTACTTTACTTCGGCTATCTCCTACGGGAGGATGAGCCGGCTTCATGAACGTCTCGAATCATCGCTGCCCAGGCGCGGCAATTTGTAAGAGAGTTCATGTAGTTTCATGGGAATTTGGTACGAGTGATGTCCCCAGCGTCGCTCGGCCTTTCGTTTGAGAGTGCAGCTCTAGCCTTTACACAGCCAAGTGTGACCTACAAGGCAGTAGGAGTAGAGTAAGGAGTCCACTATCCATTGGCAGCCGGTGACCGGAGTTCGGTTCATACGCCTTTTTGAATGGGGCCAGACATCCAGGACATCCAACAAGCCCTTTGTCCATACGTCTGCCGGTGAGCTCCAGTAAGCTTCATACGCCAGTCGTTGGAGGTTTGGAATCAGGGTTTAGCCATCCCCCCTAGACTGTCATCCAATGGACAGTCAACCCGGTGAGGAGCGCCGGGCATCCGCTTTTGCCCTCTCACTTTGGTGAGAAACACCTCCGCCACGTGAAGGCAGTGAGTAGGACTTCCTCAGGAGAGGCTATGTAAGACGCCCGGTCATATGGGAGCATTTCAAGAGGTGTGCGGAGGGGTGGCCAACCCGCAGCGCAAGGCACCCACCCCCGACCATCCTGAGGCTTTGGAGGCCAGCCTGGAAGTCTACACCTTTCTACGTGGCTTAGACCAACTGTTGTGGATTTCATTGACTGATGCCAAGTTTTTGTTTGACCGCCGCTAGCTTTTTTCCAGCCTGACCCTATATCCGCTTACATAGCTAACATAAAAACTGTAGAGTTTATCACTCCGGAAACGTCAAATATATTCTATAGTTTCAGAAAAGTTTGATTGGTAATAAGTGGAGTTTTCAGTTTTAGTTGGTAGTAAAAATAAGTGGCTTCCCCTTTATTAGCTGTAGAAGTTATGCGTCTAGATTCCTTTAACTGCATTAATAAATACGAATAAGTGCGGATTTTGAACAAGTAACAAAGTTTAATAAGTGGCTGCTTTATTATTCTTTGTTACTTGTTTAAATTCTTATCGGGAAATAAATGTTTCCAATTCTCGAAGTACACAATTCATGGAAACAAGGACAATACGTTCTGAGTAACCAGTCTTCATTGTGGAAAAAGGCTTTGTAGGCACCAAGCTGATTCACATGTATGGATATTTTCAGTAATTTTTCACTGAAATATTAATATATCCTTATATATTTTCAGCACACAACCTTTTGAGATATTTTTTGAAGTCACTTCTGAAGCCATTTTTTGCTTAGAATGTTACTATAATTTTTTTTATCTTGGTTTTTTGAATACAGCTGCACTCACGTATGCGTGGACCAACACGAATTGGACGATCTGAAGTAAGTTGTAGTATGTATTGGTCTTATTAAACTTATCTATGGAAGTTCCGTGCACAACATCGCGATGTGTTTTGATATTTGCAAACTCAGTTTCATAGCGAGTATATACAAATATATGTATATATAGAATAATGTAACTTGCTTCGGGATGCTTGAGTGTTCATGAATATTTATTTCCAGCTTACGTAGCTTACGTAACCCACGCAACATCCGAAGCAGGTCGTATACTTTATTCTAAGGTTGCGCTGAATTTTGTTTTGCATCTGTTTCACCAATCTGGCAAACTGGGACAAAATTCGTGTTTTATCATGGTGCAGTCGTGTATGACAATTGTAAATTTACCGCTCACTTAAAGGGTGCATAAATAACTGACTTGCTTTTGATTTCAGGAATAAGTGGTTCAATAATTTTCGTGATATACAAAATTGTTATCACTGGTTCAGCTATACTTACTCCTGAAGATCTTCCAAATTCATTAAATCTCCATTATTCTTCATGTAATTCTTAAAATGAACTGATTTATATGTTCAGCTTATAACTTTGCACGAAAATGCAGTTCATTCTGTCGCATCTCCTTATAAAGCAAATGTAAAAGGTAAAGCAAAAGAGGAGAAATGCAAATTATGTGTGAAAAGAGAATAATGCAAATTTAATCCATCCAGGTGATCACAGAGTAAATTCCTCCTCGCCTGTCACCAAAAGTATCTATACGTTGTCTCCTGTCTCCATGAAGACTCCAGCTAGGTAACCTACACCTTCCTGTTTATCTCAATCCGGCAGTCTAAGACTTCATAGATAAGTGCCATGACCCCTCGTTGCTTTTCCCTTCCGTACTATATGTGTGCTTTTATGAAGCCTAACAACTTGAAATGTAGCGATTTTGTACAGAGCTGTGCGTTGAAATTTTAAGTAACTTAAATTTATGGTCGCTTCATATTTCATGTCGTAACATGACTATTGTATGTCAGCCATTTTTCAGGTTGACTTTTTAATATATGTTTAGTTTGCTTCGGTTGACACACTGTATTTTGTCTCGTCGATTTAAAAAACCGTAGTCTCAGCGTAATTATATTTTAATCAACTACACGTTAATACTGATGTGAATGTACGTCAAACTATCATGGATGAAATTTAGTTTTCTGCAGGAGACATTTTCTGTGTATTGAGCTAATATCTTTATCCTGATTTTCACTTTTTGCGGGACTGTATCTGATCAAAATGAGTTGTACCTTCAGGTAGGCTTCACTAATATTTGAAAAAATTAAGCCTATGAAAATGTTTTATACGTGCGAACATGTTTCGTCAGGCATCCGTTCGTCCTAGTAATTATAGATAGTGCAGTTTCTCCTCGAGACGTTGCTTCGTATGAATAAATCGTGACTAATAAAATCTTGGTTCCAATGCATTCAAAGATTTGCCTGTCATTGTGAAGTCAACTACAATGTTTTTGAAAAGAATTTGCAACCAAGTTGAGGTGTATGCAAATGGCTGCGTAAATGTCACGGACATTTGATGTCCTCACTTGTCACAATAAATTGGATAGAAAGGTGTGGGTTGGCTTTTATTTGATGTTCCATCTTTTAAGAAGTTTTACGTCTAATAGTTTCAGGATTTTGCCAATCTGTCTGCATCTCTGAAACTCAAGTGTTCAGTCTAAGCTGTTTAACTTATTTGACAGGATGGACATAACACATTAATATTAAAATACAAATCAACTTATGTATTGCCTGTAAGCTGCGTGCGTATTTTGAAATTGAAACGTCACATTTCAGGCAGCTCCTTGATTTGCACTCCATAACAGCACAACTGCTATTGGAATTTTTAGAGCTGGAAGCTCTTTTTTCCACCCGGAAGAGTCGAAAAAAGACGTCTTAATTATTAATGCATTTTTGACGTTAAACAGGTTTAATATTTTCGGACAGGCCAATGCTAAAGTAAGCGTGTCTGCCGTATAGCAACAGTGAGATTAAAATATAAATTAAGATAACAATAGACTTTCAATGCATGTTGCGGTGACAGTGGTGCCAACACAAAAAATTTTTTGTAAATGGAATACCAGGTGCGATAATGCCTAAATAAATTGTTTATATTTCTGCACATAAATGGGCATGGATTTTATTATTGGGAGTGCATCTGAACCGTATGTTTCGAAATTTCAAGCTTTGGCCATTGCAGTATTGATAAGTATCTTAATGATATAGGTTCTCATTTTGGAAAACACTCGCTGATTTCAATGAAACATGCTGTTTTCACAATTTCGAATCTTGTACTGTTGACAACAGAAAATTTCTTGCTGTTGTGGTTAGTCTCAGTTTTAGGACAACTGTTCCTAGAATAATGCTGAAAATATCTGTTAGGTGGCGGTTTTATTCATTTCGAAAGTGGTCACGTATATATTAATGACTTCTACTTACTTACTACCTATTTGTATTATCGCAATATCCCCATTCACTTTGAAAGGTCATATTATTATAAGGGTATTCCAAGTAATGCAGATTAGAAAAAAATGTCGCGAATAAAAGTTAGGTGAACATTGTTTTTCCTATCTTACTTGTTTGATTCGTTGGTTTTGTGAATGGAAATGTTGCTTATCAGTTAGAAAAGTAAACTGGTTAGCGTAATATTAGTTATTTGTGTACTTACATGTTATAATATTCCTCTTTGCAGATCAATCATCCTCATATGCTTGTACTTACAGAAGAAGAAAAGCGTACATTAATTGCTGAAGGTTATTCAATCCCAACACGCCTGCCTTTATCTAAGCAAGATGAAAGAAATCTGAAAAAAGTTAGACGGAAAATAAAAAATAAAATAAGTGCTCAAGAAAGTCGTCGCAAGAAAAAAGAATATCTAGAGGCTCTAGAAAGGAAGTAAGTTGTTCCTTCTGACATGCTAAACTCCTTTTTTTAAATACAGAATTCATTTTTTTGATGATATTTTTTAAATTAAAAAGAACAGTTTTTATGTTGAGATAATTTGATGTAGGTTAACTGTAATAGTTTCACACCTGTCTCTTTACGGTCTAATTAGCACTCCAAATCTCTGTTATTTCCTTGATGAGCAATGTTAGCTGACTTAAAATCAGGTTCTGTCTCTGTCTGTTTACGACATAGAACTTTGCACCGATGTGCGGCAGTTCAAGTCGCCACACTCCCTCCTCGTAGCACACAAACCAATAGAAGAAAGTGCAAGAAATGCATATTAGAGACAGTAAACAGAGGTGTGAGACAAAGGAGGAGTAATAACGAGGAACAAAACAGTTTCGTTGGAAATCATAAGTCACAAGGAGTGGATGCATCTGCATTAAGCATTGAGAACGATTTTGAGCCATGTCACCAATTGTTTCCAACCATTTGTTTTTACCATCCCGGAGGACCCCAACCTGGAAGTCTGCACCTTCCTACATGGCTTAGACTAACTGTTGTAGATTTCATTGACTGGTGCCATGTTTTTGTTTGACCTCCACTAGCTCTTTTCCAGCGTGACCCTATATCCGCTAACATTGCTCGTCGAGGAAGGTGATGACTAGGCATACGTAACACATATGTCCTAACCATCTCAGTCTTTGTAACTTCACAACTTCGTCGATTGATTTCCCCTGTTTACCTGTTTCCTATTTTTAAAATCAGGTTGGAAAAGGGCTAGTGGTGATCAAACCAAATCCACAACAGTTAGTTTAATCCACTTAGGGAGGTGTTGATTTTCTGCTTGGGGTCCTCGGGATGGTAGAAACCGACGGTTGGAAACAACTGGTTAGGACTCTCGCCGACCATGCGCATGGTCCGAGATTCACTCCCCTGCCGACGCACACCTGATATTTATGGTTGGCCTGCAAAATTTGGGCTACCGATATCCATGCTGAAAATTACATACTTGTACCAAAAATACAGTGTGAAATCCAGCGGTAAATCAAAAAATAAGTAAAGATATGGCTCAAAATCTTTGTTTTCAATGATGGCGCAGATGCACTCACTCTTTGTGATTTATCATATTCAATAAAATTCTTTTGTTCTTTCATGTTACTATTTCTTTATCCCTCACACTTTTGTTTATTATCTCTCATTTGAATCTGTGTTCACTATCTTTTCTTGCTTTGTGTGCTAAATGGAGAGAGGTAACTGAAATTGCCGCACCTCTGTACAAAGTTCTATTATGAAACCAGTCAGACAGTCATGCATCATAAGTATATTAAATTTCAGACGTGTTTGATCACTAAGACACTGTACTGTTCACATTTCTGTTTTTACAATCCATTATTTGATAGTTCACCTACTTTAGATGTGTAAGTTTTTAGTTGCATTTGATTGATGATTTGCCAACTCCATAAAGTGTTTTTCTGTGCAAAAAAGAATGCCTTATGTGTTAAAATAGACCGTTGCATTAGCTTACTAACCACTTAATTACGATATCGTGCAAAGCTGTATTTTCATCAGGTAATACTATTGCTGTGTTAAACTAGTAATAAATACTATGATCAGACAGACTTCCAGGTTTATTTTTGGTTTCAAGTTACCCAATGATGCTTCCTTTGTTTTCATACAAAATACCTTACGAATCTCTAATCGATTCTAATTTATAATAATTTTATAAACAGTGAATATCATATAACCAGTGCCCAAATATTTTCCAACTATTAAACATGAACTTGGTTTGTACATGTATACCTAATTTATTGATGTTGGCTTTTAAAATACTGTGCATGCAGTAGAAACTCTTTACAGTCTTCCTCTAGTCACGTATTAAATGTTAGTTTTTCAGTAACTGTGCTTTGTAGCTTGAACATTCACATTCACAGTTTAGGCTTCTGTGATCGATCATTATCGTTCTTTCGCTCATAATTCAAATGAAGTAGTTTTTTTTTAATACGAATCTTATTGAGCTTCATTTCTATAGTTCTCGCAAATTTATTTATTCAGTTACTGTTGAGAATCATTGTTTAAACTCTTTTCTTATTGAAAATATTGAATTTACCATCCAATTTTTCTTAGGTTATTAAGGAAGAATTTTTTGTGTACATGTTTTACACTCATAAATTGTTAGACTGTAGTTTCTTCTTATTGCAGTAGAATTCTAGCGAAAGATTTAAATAGTTGTTCTTGAATTGTAATGCAGAAACTGATCATTTTGCAGACGATTCAGAATTTGGTTGTTTTTCACATCTAGTTGGAGAGTACATGTTGGTTTATATTTGTTGTGCGTGTGTGCTGTGTAGTATGGCATTTTTCGTAGTTCAGAAGGTAAAAAAATTTTCTTTTTCTCAATCAATATTCAAGTTAGCATATTGTCTTTTCGATTATTACTTCGTTAGTTTTGCTTCTTGTTGAGAAGGTGTATCCGATTGGTCTATAATTTGGTTTGTTTCCCTACGAGTGTGATTTTTTAAAATGGTGGAATAGTGTTTGAATATAAGTATTCCTTCTCCAAGTCCAACTTTGGTTTACGTGAACAGTCTAGTGAGATTTTGGTCGTTCACTCGCGTTTTTGTGATCACTCCTCTAAACAAAAGTTGGCGTTCATGTCTTGAAGCATCTTCTCTTACTTTACATTTAAATGGAGGACAGGTATGAAATGAAATGAAATATTAATCAACAAATACTCGCTTTTTCATGCAGATGGCAGTGAGGGACATTGTGTGGGCTAATGAAACTATCTGACTAAAGAAGTATCGGTGAGTGAGGGGGATTTCGAACCGGTGAACAACTGGTTGGAAGTCGAGCGCCTAGGTTGATGAACCACAGCTCTACAGCAGATGTTGCTAGATTGCAATACTCATTTCAGAAAATCATAAGAATGAGTCAATGTTTTTCAAATGTAGACCGAGATGTATCGTTTGAACTTTGCTAGGACTGTAAGATGTATATATATATATATATATATATATATATATATATATATATATATATATGTAAAGTCTTGCCACATCGTTTAACTAAAATGACCCCAGGCACTAAGTCAAGCATATTGCGTCTGTTTAGCATGAGTGTGTCAAAGGCATATATATCTGCCAACGAAATGCAGTGACCTAATAAGAGAGTAGTGTTAGGAGTATTATAGAATTCAAATAATACGCTAAGTACATTTTTATGGTTGTAGTTTTCGCGTATTTCTTCCTACTTACCGATTTCATCTTTTTATTTTTGTATTTTTAAAGATCAGTACCACTGACGTGTAGTTTCTGGTCATTGTAGTTGAAATAGTAAATTAGCTTTTGCAAATCAATGGGACTTACTGTAAGTTTCTCGGCGTCGTTTTAGTTGCAGTTTCCATTGTTCAGTGTCAGATTGTTTAACAAGCTAACTCAGAATCTCTAAGGTCCACACTTGCATGCTGGATAACTGGGATTCAGAATAGAGTAGTACATGCAAGTGTAACATCGTATTATACGTCGTTATACATTCAATTCAATTTGAAATTAATTTGCCCGGTTCACTTCGTCAAGCACCAAAATGTGTTATTCTATTTCTTTTAGTAAAACGTTGTTCGTCACATAGCATAGACATACATGATAAGAAATTTGGTGTGGTGTCTTTGAAGTCTTAGTTAGTATAGTCAACAGTCCTTCTGACATTTCTTATATACCTTGCTATTTATACGCTACGGTCAACCGACTTCATTAACAGATGCAGTTTCTTTAAATTAAGTGTAAATTTTAAGAGTAATTATCATAGCGTGTCTAGGAGGCTGTTAGTGATATGAATAACTTATTAGACACTCCAGCAGAAAGTGATGTCGGAGGTTGGACATTCAGTCGAAGTGTATTAGAAAAAGCACTTTTTTATTTGCCCTGCATTAGAGATACATTGAAGTTGTGGGAGTTTAAATTATAGTTTGGGATATATATCAGTGGTTATCACTAAGTTATTCGAATACTGACTTGCAGTCATCACTCTTCCTTACTGAGTTTGCATAAGTCATTATTTAACCAACACTGACTTCTTTATTTCTACTAATTTTGGTGACTAACTTTTAGAACAAACTTCCTATAGTTGTCCTGAACTTCATGTATTTTTAGTTTACTGACTGGTTTCAGCATATCTGCATAAATACTCCACTAATCGTAAGAACAGCCAACTCCACGGAAGCAATAGTATTATCTTTATTATACGTAATACCAAAGCATGGAAAGTGATGAAAACAATAATATAAATCAACTCAACAAGAAAAGAATAAGAGGAAGTGTTTAAATATTTTGGATAAAAACTGAAACGTTGCTGCACAATTGTTGCTTGCTACATCATACTACAAAGTGCTGAATAAATGAACCCTTTATTCTTAATTACTATTAAGTCATCATTCGAAATATAAAGTTTTGTATATTAATGGTGAAAATTTGTAACTCATGAATGTTTGTGTTCACTGAATGAATTTTTATATCAGTTTTTAGTCTGTCTGGAATCACCTCATATATACCTGCAGCTTGCACAACTATTTCGTAGAATAAAATTCTTGATTTTATGATCACTTCAGATTACTTGTAATATAACCTAGAATCAATTAAAATTTGTGGATAGCATTGTAAAAAATATTTACTCCAGGATATTCCTTTTCGCATACCATTGCCATATGATGATTATCATTAATATTAGCAGCCAGTAATGAGATCTAAGCTGAAGAACAGTAATCACCTTGAATTATGTGAATCTGCGTCGTCCGTATCAGGCTTTTACACGGTGATGTTTTATCAACAAATAGATTTTATACAGTGTTTTCTGCATTCCTTAAGATTGACCTGTTGTTTTATTATACTGTATTTTAGTGCATCCATTCTTTTCTAAATTTATAGGTAAATACTTATTTCTCAAAAAATATGTTATTGAGTGTATGTTTTACATTGTCTATCGTACAGCAAGAGAATTTGACCGCTTTACAT